CACCGTAACCAACTGTTGTTTCTTGTTCCACTAAATAATAAATTTCGACATCAAGATGATACGAGGCGACTTTGTCATTGTGGCTAGGGAATATTGTTTGATCGTTACTAAGCTAACGTTATCTTGTCGAGTTTAGAGATTTTTTGTTTTGCTAATATTCAATAGCAAATCCAAATGAATGATAAGGGAGAAGCAGGTGATGATTCAATTGCAAAAATTCAAGTAGATAGGTACCTTAATAATTTACAAAAAAAGTAGAGTATAAAATTGGATTGGATTCAAATATATATTATAAGTTAAGACACCAAAGTAGGGCTGCTACTTCAGCTGCACACGAGACGATCTAGAAAGCATTTTTTATGGATGACAATGGAATGGTGCACCCACATGCACTAACGGGCGGGGCACTAGTGGATGATAAGATCAGGTTAGTTAATATATTGTAACAATTTCACTAGGAATTTATGATATCGGATTAGGTGCCATAGCTAACAATGGAATCGTGATTACTAACAATCCCAGTCCTCTAGAAAGTATTCCCGGACGTTTGTACAAATCATGTAGACCATTTTAGTCCAAATGCGATCAAGTCACTAGAGCAGTTTCTAAGCTGCTGGAAATAAATATAATACTAAATAACCCGCGCAACTATGCCTGCGTCGCGTCGATACATTTTTCATTGATGCTCCACTCGTACTGGTCGTAGCGTGATGTTATATAGCTTATTGTATTCTACTATAAATGGGCTATCTAAAACTAAAAGAATTTTTCAATTCGAGAGTTCCTTAGGATAGCGCATCCAACCAAACACAAACTATTTAGCTTTATAATATCAGATAATAGTTACTCGCCCCGGCTTCGCACGGGTGTACATGTATTATACATATAAACCTTCCTCTACGATCTATCTATTTAAAAAAACCGCTTCAAAAACCGTCGCGTAGTTTTAAAGATTTAAGCATACATAGAGACGGACAGACAGCGACAGCGACTTTGTTTTATACTATGTAATGATATATGCAAGAATAATATCAGTACGGATACGCAAGAATAATATCAGTACAGATACGCAAGAATAATATTAGTATAGATAGGCAAGAATAATCATTTCAATATCAAATTAAAATAGTAGACGCTCCGACGTTATATCACCTAATTATGCACAAGGTCTCATTTGCCGGCTATTGTAATCGATGACCTGGCTAATTACAATTGTAATCTCAATTACAATCCACATGACGACGGCAGTGTGGATTGATGACAATTATTACCGTGGAATTGTATAAAATTACAATTGCATTATGACTAAATTGAATAAATTATTCACTAATTAGTAGTACGGATGGTGCTTTCGTTTTCAAAACAATGTGTAGATATGTAGAATAACAAACTGCATAATGTAAATAATCTTTGTTAGAGTGAATAGAAAGAGTTGTGGTTTTGAAAGGAAAAGTATGTAAATTTGGTTTTATTAGTGTTGTAAACATATGTTGTTAAACATTTTATTAAAGAAATGCTTCTATCGGCTTACTCTATTATTAAAGGATATATATATCTATATGTAATTGTTACTTATAGTAAGTACACAATAGTTCCAAAATGTGAACAAGATGTCGCTGTGTCAAATATGTACAATTTCTATATCGCGGTGGCAAGATCTTTTTGCATTATGTCTTAAGATATAGTACCTTTCGTAATCGGAAATCCGTTCCACCCTGACCACACTTTTACACACACACGACACCGTCCTCACCGGCGAAAACGACGACCTCAAACACTCAATATCGCGTATTCAACCGGGCGCCTGCGCGCACACCGGCGCCCCCGGACGCCCCTCCGATCGATCCCCGTCCAATACAAACGGGGATCGAAACTACGATGGCCTGAACCGAGGTTCGAACCCCTAGTGGTGCCCTCAGACTAAAGTCGTATTCGTCAGGCAGGAGTTGGCCTTCAGCCGCTCCATAACTCCTTCCGCGGGTTTGGAGTGCCATCTGCACTCGCCCCATAACGTCCGGTGAAGCTGTAAAGGCCAGCTACGGCCCACAGCATTAGAGTAGTCCAAAAAAAAAATGTAATCGGAACCCCTTCGATCGATCCCCCGTCCAATTCAAACGGGGAATCGATATTACGACGGCTTGAGCCCGAGGTTCGAACCCCGTAGTGGTGCCCTATGTCGTATCCGTCAGGCAAGGAGGTTGGCCTTCAGCCGCTCCATAAGCCCTTCCTTTGGTTTGGAATGCCATCTGCATCTCTCTCCCCTATAGTCCGGTGAAGCAGAAGGCCAGCTGCGGCCAACAGCATTAGAGTAGTCCGAAAAGAGTGTGTAATCGGAGAGAGAAAGAGAATGGAAATATTTTTACTACGGAATATACACAGTTCAGTACTATTCTTGGGTTTCATTTACCTATAGGGTCTAAGATCTAGTACAGTCGAAGTACAGCACTAAATACTTAAGGCTTCTTAATTCTTCGGTATTAAGTTCGCCTTTTGTACACGTGATTTTGTACAATATAGAGAATAAAATTATAATTCAAATGTCTTACATAGATTTTAAAAAGTTTTAGACCTTTGATTGTTCATACGCTTGATCTAAAAATAGGTGTAATTATTGGTGAAAATAAAGTTTTACAGTTACGTGTAAATCTCAAACGAACTTGTTTAAAGTAAATCTGTGAAACGTTGATATTGGTTGTCTTTTTAGTATAGATTTGTTTTTTTTTATTCTAGTTTTGTTTTGTATTACAATTCTTTTATGAAATTATATTAATTTTCTAAATAATAGTTGTCAAAGTTACTCTTTATTAAATTAGCTATCTGCGAGTGATGGTCACATTAAAATCAGTCCAACCGTTTCAGAGATTAGCAAGAGTCAAGTAAATTTTTTTACATTTAGATTTGAAATTTGAAAAAAATTATTTACATTTGAAAAACAGTTAATTTGAAATTACAACCAGACACTTCAATATTTATGTGTATACATTTATATTGTTGATTAACTTCTAAAAGCCCATCAGTTTTTTTATCTCTCTCACCATACAAAAAGGTAATCAGTGTTAAGTGAATAGATTGACAACCGTTCTAATAGATTGATTGTACGGACGGCTCGCGTAATGAGCCGTGACTGACTGAGAATTGACTGATGCTCCAAATCTGTTTTAGTGTAGTCACAGACACGCGGTCAAACGTTATATTTTTTTATGTAATGAAATAGAATAATAGATAAATACAAGACTGTATAACAATAACGCTCGCAGGAGCAGTAGTTGTAAATTGTTAATTTATAATTATAAAGCATATTATAAATAAAAAAATATTACATACATAAATTACTAGCTACTCGTCCCGGCTTCGCACGGGTGTACATGTTTTATATATATAAACCTTCCTCTATCTATTAAAAATAATCGCTTCAAAATCCGTTGCGTAGTTTTAAAGATTTAAGCATACATAGGTACAGACAGCGACAGCGACTTTGTTTAATACTATATAATGATGATAATTAATTAGTTAAATTTCTAAAATAAATATGTCTTTACATAGTATAAGATTTATTTATTTTTATTTTTATTTATTTATTTAAGATAAGATGAAGACTGTTCGTTTAAAATATCTTCTAACAGATCATTATCTGTATTCAGTTGTCAGCAATAGATAGAGTGAATCAAGAGGAATGTTTATATATAACTTATAATTTTAAATTACTTAAATTTATTATTTGAATCGATTTGCTGTGAGGAGCTGGTGTCTGAGAGTAAGCTCAGATATGACGACCGTTAGAGATCAGTGGAAGAGAATGACACACTGCGCCGACCGCAAATAATGGGATAAAGGCTCGGCAATGATGATTTTTCAGTGACGTAATCGTATGCATTTGTTCATTGTTAGTCACGCGCGACACGCCGAGTATTCTAACCACTGATCTAAGTGTTACGTGTTTGTTTGTCTATGCATTTGTAGTATGACATCATTGTTACTGCACGCTGCTGTTTTGGCAGCCTTTTCAACCGATAGACAGAGGACGAAGATATAGCCTTTAAAATTTTATATTTAAATAGACTTCAAAAAAACAAGAGTCTCAATTCGCTTGTATTCTTTTTATGTTGTTAACTCAGTACTCCAGATTTGAAAATATATTTTGTTACATTGTAATGACAAATTAATTGTCTAGATGGATGGTACCTAAATGGTAATTATCGCTATAGACTCAGATATCATAAAATACATTGTAAAGCCCCGAGACTACTGTTACTCTCGCGATACCTCTGTTACGCTCACGCGATACCCCTGTTACGCTCGCGATGCCACTGTTACGTTAGCGATACCCTGTTTACTCGCGATATATGTACCTGTTACACTCGCCATACATTCGTTACGCTCGCGATACCCCAGTTACGCTCGCGATACCACTGTTACTCTCGCGATGCCACTGTTACGCTCGCGATACCCTGTTTACTCGCGATATATGTACCTGTTACACTCGCCATATATTCGTTACGCTCGCGATACCCTTGTTACGCTCGCGATGCCCCTGTTACGCTCGCGATACCCTGTTTACTCGCGATATTACTGTTACGCTCGCGATACCCCTGTTACGCTCTAGCTGCCCCTGTTACACTCGCCATACACCCGTTACGCTCGCGATACCCTTGATACGCTCGCGATGCCCCTGTTACACTCGCCATACACCCGTTACGCTCACGATACCCTGTTTACTCGCGATATTACTGTTACGCTCGCAATACCCCTTTCCTCCAGTAGTAGCGGGTTTCAATCTTCCCACTATATTCGTAATCATGATTATGATAGTATTGGTCTCTTTTCTATGTGTATTATGTATGCAAAAATGTATTTAAGTAATTTATCAGTTGTTTAGTATACACAGCACAAACTCTGCATAGTGTGGAACTAGATAGCGCTGTGTAATTTATCCTGAGTTATTCTTATTGAAAGATTCTGTGTTTGTACAATATGTCTGACGTCATTTCCTTTGCCAACAGATTCAAAAGCAACAAAATCTACACATACATTGGCGAGGTGCTGGTGTCTGTAAACCCATACAAATCGCTGGACATCTATGGACCGCAGCACATGGCACAGTACAGGGGGCGGGAGATGTTCGAAGTCTCGCCCCATGTGTTCGCGGTGGCTGATGCCTGCCAGAGGGTGTTACGTCAACAGGCGAGTACTTAGATGAAGTTCACCTTAGCTCCAAAGAAAAACCATCCGTATCTTTATATATAAAAATTACGTGTCACGTTGTTTGTCCGCGATGGACTCCTAAACCACTGAACCGATTGCAAATTTGATTTGCACATTGTGTGCAATTTGATCCAATTTGAAAGATAGGATTTATTTATATAAAAAAAACATCTATTCAAAAGAGCAACAGACAAGTCTCTTGTGATGCATCTGCGTTCCGAATGAGTGGTAGAATCAAAAATATGACTATTCAATAGTATAATCTTTATTCAAATAAACTCGATACAATAATGCTTGTATCGAGTTTATTTGACTAAAGATTATTTCTATTTCTATTTCCTTCTAACGTTTCTAATATACATTTACTTCATTGGGAAATTGCACACGTGTAAAGTCGGGACGTGTAACTAGTTACATATAGGGGATAAAAATACATGTCATTAAATAAAATCTATTGTCTGTCGGTGTTTTAACCAAAGGACGATCGTAAAACCGTCATGGGATTCTTTTACGGCTAAAAATACGGTTTCGGATTGAATTAATTTAATTTACCCTTAAGAGGAGTCCACGCTATAAAATTACAATATAGGTATTACTCAGTATTCGTTCTGTCTCTACTCAGAGAGCTTGCGTATCTCCTCGCCCAAGCAAGATAGCTATACTTACAACCTTATACAATTAAAATTTTGGCGAAAATATTTATGTTCCGCACTAAATTTTTCAGTATTCGTTCTATCTCTATTCAGAGAGCTTGCGTCTCTCCTCGCCCAAGCGAGATAGCTATACTTACAACCTTATAAAATTAAAAAAATATAAGTAAAATTTTGCCGAAAATATTATGTTCCGCTCTACTCAGATTACTCTATGATTACAGTAAATATAAAGGTGTTTTTACTTTCGGAAAATACATTTTCAATCCAAAGTTTTGCATATACTTCATCTGCTTCTTCCTTATCCCATTTATTTAGGAATAGAAAATCATTTATTCAAATAAACTTACATACAAGCATTTTTTTAATCTACCGCTGTTTCTTCCTTATCCCATTTATTTGTGGTCGGCGTAATATGTTTTTCTCTTCCATTCATCCCTGTTCGCAGTCATCTCGTTATTTTACTTCCTTTCTTACCATATCATCTTTCACACAGTCCATCCATCTCTTTTTCGGCCTTCCTCTGCCCTTATAACCATACACATTCCTATATTTGTTTTGCATATACATATACATAATTATAATGCATGAAATATAAACAAACTTGTCATTCCAAAAAATACTAGCAAAATGTATTAAGCAGGGACAGTTATTGAAGATAATAATGTACAGTAAATTGTCAAAAGTAGTAGACGATTTACCAGTTTTAAAATTTAGAAGAAGTATGAAGTAATTTTTTGAAAATAATCCATTTTATCACATAAAAGAATTTGTCAAAAACTAATTTAAATTTATGTTAATGATTAATGTTAATGTTTACTATCTATCTTCTTCTATATATATATATATATATATATATACAAACTCAAAGGTGACTGACATAGTGATGTATCAACGCACAGGACGGATACGATATACGATACTACAAACCACTGGACGGATCGGGCTGAAATTTGGCATGCAGGTAGATGTTATGACGTAGGCATCCGCTAAGAAAGGATTTTTATTAATTCTACCCCCAGGGGGATAAAATATGGGATGACAGTTTGTAAAAATCCACCCCTAAGGGGATAAATTAAAGGGGAAAGCTAGTTGAATTATAATTTTATAACTGTCCAGCTAAATGTGACCTGTTTTGACATGGCAAATAAAAAAATGTAAATCTATTTTAATTTTTTTATACTGTCTAGGATTGTTCAGTTTTTGGTATTCTGAAAATTCATTATAATTCCAATAACTTGCATATTTTTTCCAATATTTATACTGTCTTGGATTGTTAATACGAATGAGCTAAAGGTAGGTTCATGTTTTGGTGACAATCTATATTTTCAGTTACGTGTAATACTAAAAGAAACTTAATTATAGAAAATCTGAATAGTGTGAAATGTTTATATTAGTTGCATTATCCTATGGACTCATTGAATTTCATTAGTTATTATAAAAAACATCATAGAAATACTTTTTGTATGGTTTAGAGGAGTAAGGGATATGTTTTTCATCGAGTTTTATTTGTTACTAACTGTACCCGTGACTTCAACCGCATGGAATTTAACTTTTTTTTCTAAAATTAAAGTACCTAAGATACTCCTTATTACATCAGCTACCTGCCAATAAAAGTCCCGTCAAAATCGGTCCAGCCATTTCAGAGATTAGCCGGAACAAACTGACAGATAGACAAAAATTGTAAAAAATGTTATTTTGGTGTATGTACCGCATTTATATTCATATGCATGTAGTAAAAAACGGTTATTTCAAACCAACAGACAGTCCAATTTTATTTATATGTATAGATTGTTAAGTTTTTATAGTAGTACGTTTTGTATAGAAAGGGGATAAGGGACATGTAACCTTAACAGCGTGCTGAGTGGTTGTAAATAAATAATCAAATGAGAAATGAAGAGAAATAGGGATGATGTCGTAATACCCATACAGGGTCGTAACATAAAAAATTTAACTCCTACTCATTAACTATAAATAGTATATTAGTAAAAAGATTCCATAAGCATGAGGATATAAATGTTTTACTACCAAATACCAATCAACGCAGATATTTCCTGTTCTACAGAAATAGTTCCGATATATTTGTTAAACAAATATGCAGGATTTTTTTACAAATATTTTATACAAGCTGTGCCCGAGGTTTCACTCGCGTTAAATTTCAATAAATGTGTTATTCCGATGTATCATAATCATTACATAGTATAAAACAAAGTCGCTGTCGCTGTCTGTCCGTGCCTATGTATGCTTAAATCTTTAAAACTCCGCAACGGATTTTGAAGCGGTTTTTTTAATAGATAGAGTGATTCAAAAGGAAGGTTTATATGTATTATACATGTACACCCGAAGCCGGGGTGGGTAGTTAGTAAGCTATATTTCATACCTTTTTTTTTTCTATTTTTCATTTCTTTCCAGTTAACTTAAATCAAAATTTATATCCGAACATTATTATTCACGTATTTGCGTGCTTATTTTTATATATTCCGCCAAAATTGGTCACATCGATCAAACCCGCGACTATCGGAAGTAAAACGGAGTACTAAACCGCTAGACCATCGCGGCCGCCGAAACCAAGCAAAATTCTGTTGCAATACCAATTTGGGACTATAAAATTATTACGGAAGACAATGCCAACCCTCCAAAGTATTGTCAAAAGTCTTAAACAGGGGCGGATCTACCTAAGGGCTTTTTGGGCTGCAGCCCAGGGCCCCAAGGATAAAAAGGGCCCTCAGTCCCCAATAAAACGATATTTAGAATATAAAAAAATATCTAGAATGTTAAACCTATAAGGTTTCATTTCTGGTCGCTGTTTTTGGTCGATGTATTTTTTTAGTTGAGTAATAAAATTACGTAGGCCCCTTAGTAGATTAAGCCCAGGGCCCCATATATTCTCGATCCGTCCCTGGTCTTAAAGATGAAGTATTTGGGTGGTCTCTTTGTGGAGAGTGATAAAATCGTCGGCTCCTCTTTACGACTCATTTGATAATGGCCAACGGGCTATTCCGTAAAACAAGACAATAGACACTTAACACGGTGCTGAATGTTCGCTGTTGAGATTCAAGAAATGCAGCTGTAGCTTCATGGAAGCTATGAGTTTTATGAAGTATAAGGTGCTAGAGTGTTTCTCAACCGTTTTTGTGACATGTCCCACCTTGGCCTTTCTAAAATTCTTACGCCCCTATTTGTTTTAATTGGTTGTTTGGGCTATTGTCAGGTGCATGGACCTGTAGCACTCCGACCTACATAGATCTATTGTGCTCGCCCTTTTCAAAGTTCGCTGCCTAGACCCGTCAGGGACAAGAATTGAAGGATATTCTTAGGAGCGATTGTTTTTATCTCCTCAGGAAAGAGTGTAAACTTTCCAAAGGAGATATTTCGTTATTGTTGTTGTTATAGAGTGGGCTACAACCACATAGGATGTGTAGTGGCGTTTCCTCTTCAGTTTAGTTTATGCCCCTATGTAACATACGTAATTTTTAATAGTATAAAATTGAATTGTTACCTTGAGAAACTTATTATGTTGTTTGATAAAAACACTAGGAAATTGTTACCACACAGCAAGTTTTCAAAACATATAAATGAAACTGAAATTTAAATTCCAAATAATTTTAATAAAGATTTTCTATAAAAATCATTAGGAAATTGTTAAAAAACTTAAAATTAAAATTTCAAAACATATAATAAAAAGCTGAAATTTTTATTCCAAATAATTTTAATAATGTTTTTCTATATTAATTTAATTTAGTAATCAAGTAATTTGGTTCTCGGCTGTGTTTTCCTTTTGATATTTTAGCCGTTTATGACTATCAAGGTTTTTTTTTTTTTTTTCAGGGTAAAGATACATGCGTACTTATATCGGGCGAGTCTGGATCGGGCAAGACTGAAGCATCCAAGTTCATAATGAAGTATATAGCGGCGAATACAACACAAGTGCACAGAGATTACATAGACAGGTTAGTGGAATATGTTTACTGAAAATTCAGAATCGAACCGGCGACCTTCATTATCATCATCGTTACATAGTATAAAACAAAGTCGCTGTCGCTGTCTGTCCCTATCGATAACAGAAAACATATACATATATATACCACAGATAACATAACGAAGCAATATCTTGTCTATTTTAATTTCTTTAGACAGCCTTGGTGGTCTAGTGGTTTACCATACCGCTTTACTATACGATGGTCGCGGGTTTGATTCCTCGCACGGTATGAACATTTGTATTCATAAGTATGATTGTTTGTCTGGGTGTTTTCTATGTATAATATGTATTTACGAAAAATAATTATATATGTTTTTGTATCAGTTGTCTAGTACCCATAACACACCCGCAGTTACCCGCTTTAGTTAGCTTAACTTGGGTCTAGATAGCGCTGTGTGAATTGTCCTCACATTATTATTTATTATAATAGATAGACGAACCCACTCACTAGTGACACATATACAATAAACAAGACAGTATCATTATATAGTATAAAACAAAGTCGCTGCGGCTATCTGTCCCTATGTATGCTTAAATCTTTAAAACTACGCAACTTTTAATAGATAGAGTGATTCTAGAGGAACGTTTATATATATAATACATGTGCACCCGTGCGAACCCGGGGCGAGTAGCTAGTCGGAAATAAGCTAAACCGCTAGACTAACAACGCCGTCAAATAGAAGGATTAATTTCATATTTAGTGAATATCTTAGGTGTTACTTAACAGGAGTGTGACCAACGCTATAAAATATGTAGTACTAACTTTGCCTGCGGTTTCATCCGCATTAATTTCAATATCAAATATAGCCTATGTGTTATTCCGATGCATAATCTATATTACTGTAAAGTTTCACCAAAATCTAGTAATTTTTGCGTGACTGAGTCACAAACATGCATACTTACAAACTTTTGCGTTTAGAACATTAGTAGAATTACCATCAGGTAGACCGTAAGCTTGGTGACCTATTCTAATTACATAAATAAATGTTTGTTGTCATTCAAATGTTGGCCATACTTGCTTTATCAACCAACAAGGTCATAGGCTATTTTTAACCCCATCAACCAATATTATGCAGACGAAGTCGCAGGTAAAAGCTAGTCTATAGTTTATCTAATTATATCTGTGCTTTCTTTTCAGGGTAAAAAACGTATTGATTCAATCAAATTCAATATTGGAGACATTTGGAAATGCAAAAACAAATCGGAATGATAACTCGTCGAGGTTCGGCAAATATATGGATATACATTTTGACTACAAAGGGGACCCTGTGGGGGGTCACATCAGCATCTACCTCTTGGAGAAGAGCAGGGTGGTCAGCCTGCAGCAGGGGGAGAGGAACTTCCACTCGTTCTATCAGGTCAGGATTTTTTAATGGAGAGTTGCACTCGCCAGCGCTAACGGTATACTAGCGGAGCACCAGTGGGGGAAGGGTATGGTATATAGGCTTGACCTCTACTGGTGCCCCGCCAGCGTATATCGCCAGCGCTGGCGGGAGCACCATTCCATTATTATCCAGTGAGAATATAATAAGGAGTTAGGACATAGACTGATTTGGTTTTTTTTTTGGCCTAAATTTAGGTTGTTATTGCTTATAATGAAAGAGATAGTCTATCGTATCAAAGAATGTGTGTATGGATAAATTTATCAAGCTACCGGCGCCAGATATATGTATTATTGCTGTGTATTATATTAAAACTAATAATAATGTACTATCACAATTGTAATCCAAGATAGGATAAGCAAATCTATTTATTTTAATCGATGATAATGGAATGGTAAACCCACCTGCACTAACGGTTTACGCTTGTATTTGTACCGTGAGAGGAATCGAACCCGCAACCATCGGAAGTAAGGCAGCATCTTAAACCGCTAGACCACCGAGACCGTCAAATGATTTAAAATAGCAAATGGCAAACACACCACGTTTCTGCATCAGAGAGTGATTGAAAAATGTAAATTGACACAGTTTTTGGTGTATACCAGATTTGAACTGATAACCTTTGAAGTCAAAGTGGTGTATTAAACCACTAAGTCACAACACTCTCATTTTCTCAAAGTAATCTGTGTAATGTGCGTTTACGAGCGAGTTTATTATGATTAATGATTCGTTTCATCGCTTATTTAATATGATACATTACCTGACCACATTATTATGTTATATTATTGGCTATCAAATAGAGTTGTTCCAGCAAAACGTCCCGATATAGCGTCTTTATTCTATACTTACTTCGGTTTTACTTTATTTGTTACTTTACTTTATTAATTACTTTACTTTATTCGTTTCTACTTACGCTATAAATGACGTCAAACTTATTAATATTATAAACTCAAAAGTTTATAAGTATGAATGTTTGTTACTCTTTCACGCAAAAACTATTGAACGGATTTTGATGCAACTTTACAGTAATATAGCTTATACATCAGAATAACACAGGCTATATCTTATATTGAAATTAAAAGCGGTTGAAATCGCGGGCACAGCTAATAGGCTATTATTTAAAAAGATATGTAAATTGAGAGATATATAATGATAAATATATCAGAGCAATATATTTGAACAGAGATTAAGTGCGTAGCGATTTCTATATTGATGGTTGCATGCCTAATCCTTGTTGTTAATTAAATATAAGTAAATCAATATTTATTTAAAAGAGCTTCACACAAGTTTCTTGCTCGTTCTTCTTGTGATAAGTCTGCATTCCGAATAAGCGGTAGAATAAAAAAAAATGGGACTATTCAAAAGTATATTTATTAAGTTTATTTGAATAAAAATTATTTCTATTTCTATTACATATGTAGACAACTAACTTTATACCACGACGGCGTTCGAGATCTGTGAATAAAATGTTATTATAAAATACTGAGATATGTATTTTATATAAATGACACTGAAATCGTGTTCCCGACTGCGTTAATGCGCTTACGGAGCTATTTTTTGTATTAGCCAGGAATTAGCCGCAACGAGTATACCAGCGTCTATTACTAGCCATCCCCTCTCACCTATTACTAATCATCCCCTATCACAAAGTTAGGTGGATAATCAACTTGTTTGCAATGTTGGATAATTTAAAGAAAATATCTCAGGATAATACACGATGCGCCATCTAGTTCCAAGCTAAGCAGAGCTTACATTATAGGTACTATACTACTGTTATAAATACATTTTTAATACATACATAATACATATAGAATACATCCAGACCGATAGAAACAATCACATTCATAAATACAAATGTTTGTACCGTGCGAGAAATTGAACCTGCGATCATCGGATGTAAGGCTATGTGCTAAAACGCTAAACCACCGAGGCTGTCAGAAATCATTATCATTGCCTTGCCTTTATCCCATTATTTGCGGTCGGCGCAGTGTGTCATTATCTTCCACTGATCTCTATCGGTAGTCATATCTGAAAAAACTCTTCTTTTATTCATATCATCTTCCGCACAATCCATTCACCTTTTTTTAGGGCGTCCTCTCCCTTTACATCCATCCGCTTTCATATTATACACTTTTCTTAAGACATGATCCTCGTTCCTCCACATGATATGCCCAGCTCAATCTGTTACCTCGCAACTTGTTAATAACTGGCGCACCTTTACTTCCGATGGTCACGGGTTCTATTCCCCGCACGGCACAACATTTGTAGTCATGAGATTGTTTGTGTCGGTCTGGGTGTTTTCTTCAAACTTCCTCGTATATAACACATTCCTTATTCTGTCAGAAATGTATTTAGTATTTAATTTACAGTTACTCAGCTCAAACAACGCGCAAACGAAAAAGTTCGGCCTGAACTCGAGTGGCACGTACAAAATACTGGGCAGCGAGCGGAGCACCGCGCAGGACTCCAAGTTGTGTTCCGTCACGAACAGCGCCTTCAAATCGCTCGGCTTCTCGCCTGCTGTCATCGCCGACATATGGAGCATAGTCGCCGGGGTTATACTGCTGGTAAGTTTTATCCAGGATTATAGTAGGTCAAATCTAAATTTATATGTAGTTTTATAATAAATTTAGTTTATATATACATATATATATATATAAAGATTATAATAATAATTATCTTTATTTATAAATATACAGTACAATTCAATACAGTTAGCCCTGACTTTCGATGTAGGTTACCCTGCGCCACGAAAGCCAGTTCCTTACTACATATTGTTAACATTTTAAGTACATTTGCAGGTCGTTATGTACATAGAGAAATAAAAATATAGAATGGAATAACATTTATTACATCACACATCTCAACACAAGAAAAAACGATGCCGACAGCTGCATTTAAATTATTATATAAGATAATAAATAAATAAGTAAAAGAACAACATAGTAACAAACAAATAAATAATAATAATAATAAAGTAAAATTCATTTCCTATCCACCACTGCGGAGCATCGTCACCGCAAATCAATATATATATATATATATATATATATTTCAATACATGATAAAAATATAAATGTATAAAAGACATAAATAGCCATTTACATTATATTAATGCACAGCCAACACAATCTTTCTCTGCACCAATCATAGTTGCTTGGTAGATAATGACGCAGTGTTAAGTCCGCCACATGTACACTTTATGTTTATGCATAGAAATTCAGTAAATAAATATTTAGACTGTTATAATTAACTATTGCATGTGATGACTAAATGTGTGAGACTATTTTAAAGCCAACCTACACCATTGTACCACATTCAAGGCAAGCTAGGAATAAATAAAGTTTTATCTACCCACCTTATAACAGCGTCTACCTATGGAGGGACCTTTGGGTCCCTAAAATGTAGTTAAGCCCAAGGTGACCACAATCAAGGCAACCTACAATTAAATAAAGTTTTATCTATCCACGTTACGACAGCGTCAAAATCCATAACAGTATAGCGGGACCTTCAGGTCCCTAAAATAATAGTTAAACTCAAGCTGCATGTTTCATTGGTGGTACTTATGAACGGGTAGTGCTTTTAGGAATTAGTCTGATCTGACTGACTATGACTGTATTATTTTGTGGCTCATATAAATATATTATATGTATGTATGTATTTTGAAATTCGTGCTATTTGGTAATTCTTTTTCAAATCTTATTAAAAATGAATGTTAATTCAACATTTATAGATATTGCTTACATTTTTTACTGAATCTGTATCAGAATTAGAGCTATTGGTTACGTTTTTTGTTGAACTTGATTACTACATTTTTGGACAGTCAGCATAAAAAATGTCTGTCGTGTTAAAAGATGTCTGTCGCTTCATTTATTCAAAAGTACAATGGTGTAATGTAAATAACATTTGCACAATAATTCAGACTTATTGTTACGCATGATTTATTAATGGGGCTGTGTGTAGTAACGTCGCGGTTGCTTGTATGCCAGCTTATTGGTAAACAGCTAATTTTATTTCAGTGCACGGTCTGTCACCCTACAGCCATCAGCATTTTATACCGTTCTATATCCATATTACAACCAAAAATATAACTTGGTCCACATTCAAGCTTCGTCTTTAGTCCACATTCAAGCATCTTGTATTTATATCAACAATAAACAAAGTTATTTAGCAAGCAGTCCGAAATTTATCATTTATACATCAAGCATTATCATAGTATCTGGACTATGTATCACAGCAGATTCATGTCTTTATGGTCCTTCGAGTCGGATTTGACAAACCATGGATCATAATATTTTATTGTCCATGCTTTTTATGTAACTGGAAACACAAATAAAAGGATTTTGTCTTATCATATACATAGAGATACTTTTTTTGGTAAAGACATCCTCAAATCGATACGAACAATCATATTTAGGAATACAAATGTTACGGGGAATCTAATCTGCGGCCATCAGAAGTAAGACAGGCGTGCTAAAGCACTAGACCAGCGAGGTCGTCAAAATAATGATTGCTACTTTAACTTTGCAGGGCGAGTTGGTATTCACAGAGACCCCCGAGGGTCAGCTCAAGATTGGGGGTCCGGTGGGTCCGTGCGTGTCCGCGCTGTGGGTCACGGAGGCGGCGCTGCGCGGATGCATGGCGGGCCGCGTGCTGGCCGCCGGCGGGGACCTCGTCAGCAAGGAGCACTCGCTCTCAGACGCCAACTACACCCGGCTGGCCCTCATCAAGGCCACCTACGACAGGCTCTTCACCTGGATCGTGCAGCAGGTCAGTATATAAGAACCAAGACGAAAAACGTAGATATTAAAACAAAATAATAACGAATGAAAGTGGAATGAAATATAAATTAGCTAGCAAAGGTTTCTTGGAGTTTAGTCACCCAATAAATTTCTGGACGCAACGTGTTTAACAGGTACGAGCAGTTTGTACGGGATGGTTTGTATTTGTCCCAAAAGAGGGATTTCCAGTCAACCTTTGAGAGGCATTGTGGAGCGATGCAAACTGGTATATAATATATTTTTACTAATATTATAAAAAAAAAAAATAATAATAATAATGTCTCAGGACAATTGACACAGCGCCATCTAGTCCCAAGCTAAGCAGAGCTTGTGTTATGGGTACTAGACAACTGACACATAGAAAACACCCAGACCGATACAAACAATCATACTCATGAATACAAATGTTTGTACCGTGCGAGGAATCGAACCCACGACCATCGGATAGTAAAGCGGTGTGCTAAACCACTAGACCACCGAGGCTGTCAACAAAAGTAACTCTGTCTGTCTGTCTCGATTTCGCGTCAAAACTACTGAATCGATTTGAATGAAATTTGGTACACAGTCTAGATCCTGACGAAGGACATAGGCTACTTTTTAATGTGAAAAAAGGGTTGTAAGGGGTTGAAAGGGACGATGATACGTTTGTGTGGAAACATTGTCATTTTTAAAGCTGGAAGGTTGAAACTTATTATTGAAGCTGTTGATTAAATATAAATAAATATGACATTCAAAATTTGTAAAAATATTACAGTAAATAAAATAGGGGATGAAAGCTAGAACGATGAAACTTTATCTTTGGATATTTTTTCTTCATTCTGTCAAGATATTGACGACCTCGGTGGTCTAGCGGTCTAACACACCGCTTTACGTCCGATGGTCGCGGGTTCGATTCCTCGCACGGCACAAACATTTGTATTCATGAGTATGATTGTTTGTGTCGGTCTGGGTGTTTTCTATGTATATTAAGTATGTATTTACAAAAAAAATAAAAATATCTATGTATTTGTATCAGTTATCTAGTACCCATAACACAAGCTTTAGCTAGCTTAACTTGGGTCTAGATGGCGCTGTGTGAATTGTCCTGAGATTATTATTATTATTATTATTATATAACATACTGACGAAGTCGCGGACACAGCTGGTTAACTATAAGTGTCAGTATTAAGTTTGTTTTTTGAACCAGTCTACGTTGGTTTATTACAGATCAACAAAGCTATAGAAGTGCCCTCCGGGACATACAAGAACACGCTCATCGGTGTCCTCGACATATACGGCTTCGAGATCTTCGACACCAACAGTTTCGAGCAGTTCTGCATCAACTACTGCAACGAGAAGCTACAGCAACTGTTTATTGGTGAGATATTTTTTTTTATGTAACTTTAATGATACCAGGACATCCGCATACGCTGAAGGAAGACTTGGAAGGAAGAAAAAGGACCCGGTCCTTTTGCCGCCTTAAATTAAGTATGTTTTAAATGAATTTCTTACATGTAATTTAATTGGAAGCAATAAATCATTCTTCTTATAAATAAACTGCAAGTTTATTATATGTGGTAACTTATATATTATTGGTAAACATATTTTTTTTATGGAATTGTACACACCGCTTCACTTTTAGTCGCTGTTCGATTCCTAGCAGAAGAATTTTTATTCATAAGTATGATGGTTTTTATCAGTCTGGGTATTTTTTATGTATATTATGAATGTAATGTGTAAAGTAATAATAAAATTATTTAAAAGAGCAACACGCAAGTTTTGCTTGTTCTTCTTGTGATGAGACAGCTTTCCGAATGAGCGGTAGATTAAAAAATGTAATGACTATTCAAAAATGCTTCAATGTAAGTGTTGATAACTCGTAAATAAAATAAGTAGTGGACTGTAAGTTATTATATTTAATACGAGGAGTTATAATATTACAAGGAACATTAGCTAATTAATAAGGTACGCGTGCGGTGACGTCGTAGGCGCAAGGCAAAGTGAAAGGTGTCCCGGCCTAGCGGCTGTCAATAGCTCATCTTCGTTAGCGCTCGAACATCCTCCTCGGGTTGAAGTATTCAAGAAACAGGAAGAGGGTAGAGGTTGTTGAAAACCCTCAAAATTGTTCCCTTCTTGGTCTTCAGTTCGGCCACGCGTGCGGCCCCGTCGATGCCAGGGAAAACTTTAGTGATGCGCCCCAGGAGCCACAGTAGCGGCGGTTGTCCTCTATCCTTTACTAGGACGAGTGTTCCAGCAGACAGCTGGCCAGTTGAAGACGTCCACTTGGTTTTCTGTTGGAGTAGAGAAATATACTCGAGGTGAAATCTTTGCCAGAAATGTTGTTTTATGTGCTGCACCCTGTGATAGCGTTCCAGACGCTCAATTTTGATGTCAATTACTTGTGGATGTGGAACCGACATTAGTGGTCGTCCAATTAAAAAATGTGAAGGAGTTAGGGCTGTTAAATCTAAAGGATCAGAGGAAATAGGGGTTAATGGACGTGAGTTTAAAACTGCCTCAATTTGAGTCAAACATGTTGCCATCTCCTCATACGTAAAATGAGCTACTTGCAGTAATCGCCTTAAATGATGTTTGGTGGAACGGACTGCTGCCTCAGCGATACCATTGAAGTGTGGTGAATAGGGAGGAGCGAATGCAAACTCAATACCTTGTTGGGTGACCTCGTATGAAATATCAGATTTCTGTAAAAACGTTTGTAGCTCGTTGCAGGCGCCGACAAAGTTAGTACCGTTGTCAGACAAGATACTTTGAGGTTTACCTCGACGAGCCACAAAACGGTTTAAAGCAGACATATACCCTTCTTTAGATAGGTCTGTAACGAGCTCGATGTGCACGGCTTTGACTGCAAGACACACAAAAATACACAGGTATGACTTTATAAGCTTGCAACCTCGCCCTTTCCGGTCAGCTATAAACACTGGCCCAGCATAGTCGACACTGCAATGTAAAAATGGAAACTCTAATTTTGTTCTTGATGTCGGTAACTGTCCCATAATAGGTTGTATTGTTAAACATTTATTTTTGAAGCATTTTATGCAATTCCTGACTACTAATTTAGAAAGATTTCTGCCTCCTAGAGGCCAATATGTATGTCGAATATTAGCTAAAAGAAGCTGGGGACCAGCATGTAACAATTCTTTATGGTATTTAATAAATATTAATTTAGTGAAATGATGTTTTGCACACAATAATATGGGATGTTTTATATTATAGTCGTAGGGAGAATTGTCTAGTCTGCCGCCTACGCGAATAATACCATTATTATCTACAAATAGACTTAGAGATGCAAGTCTATTTTTACGTGGTAATGATTTTTTTGATGAAAGTAAACTAAGTTCTATTGGAAACATATCCTTTTGGGCATGGATTGTAATAAGCTGTAATGAATCAGTAAGTTCTTTACTAGTAAGAAAACCATGCAACTTATTGTTTTTACTTTTTAAATTGTTAGCAAATCTTAGTATATAAGCAACTACTCTATGCAAACGATGAAAATTTGAAAATTTATGAATTAGTGTTTTAAATAATGACTGATTATTATATTGTGATTTTATTAATACATGTGAATGAGGATTTGATGTAAGGTCGAGTGATGTAAAGCGATGCGATGACACTACATCAGGTGGATCTTGTTTCACAGTTTGATTGGGCATTTTTGGCCAATCATTTTTATTTAACAATAAAAACTCCGGCCCTGACCACCATAAAGAACAGTTGCTGATTAGGTCAGCCTTCAGCCCGCGAGAAACAAAATCCGCCGGATTATCCGTGGACGGAACATAACTCCACGTATGCCCTGCTGTACTTTCCTGTATTTCATGTACACGATTGCGTACAAAGGGTTTTAATGTATTAGCTGCCATAGATAACCAACTCAACACTATTGTCGAATCGCACCAGAACCGACAATGACTAATAGGTAAAGTAAGAGAACTCATCACTTTAGTACACAATCTTGTTCCTAAGAGGGCGCCACAGAGCTCAAGACGTGGTATTGTAGTGGGCTTAACCGGTGCCACTCGACTTTTTGACACTAGAAGTTGGACTTTAACTAATCCTTTATTATCTGTAGAACGAATATAAATGCATGCACCATATGCCGCCTCAGACGCGTCTGTAAAAACATGTATTTCGTTACATACATAATTGTCACATAATACCCATCTAGGTATTTTTAAGTTATTTAGACAAGGAAGGGTAGTTATTAAAGAAAGCCAGAGACCTTTTAACTCGTCAGATATAATGTCATCCCAATCATATTTACTAAGCCATAGCTTTTGCATAATTATTTTGGCTTCTACTATACACGGACTGACTAGACCTAACGGATCAAAAATCTGACTAATAATTGACAAGATATTGCGTTTTGTAATTTGTTTGTTTGTATCTATATAGATAGAAAGTACTAACGTATCTGAATCGCATAACCAACGCAAACCTAGCGTTTTACATGAAATAGTACTCTTTTCAAAAAAATCTAGACTGTTTGAAGCCTCTGTAATACCTGAAATTTCAGTTAAGATTTGTAATGAATTAGACTGCCATTTTCGTAGATGAAAATTTGCAGAAGATAAAATAGAAATTACTTCCTTACTCATTTTGACCACCTCAGAAATTGAATTACCACCGCTTAGATAATCGTCGACATAGAAGTCACGTTCAATAGAAGTCTTTACGGTTTCATTACTTGATTCTGGTGATAAACTAACCAGACATTTCGTGGCTAAGTAAGGGGCAGAAGCTGTGCCATAAGTTAGGGTATTAAGTCTGTATGTTTTTAAGGGTTCATTGGGATTCGATCTAAAAATTATCTGTTGCAAAGAACGGTGGGAGGGAGTGATGTCAATTGCTCTATACATTTTTTCTACGTCGCCAGATATTACATATTTGTGTTGACGGAAACGTAGTAAAATGGAGAACAGATCATTCTGGACAGTAGGCCCCACCATCTGAATATCATTGAATGATATTCCAGATGTGGAAGCAGCAGAGGCATCGAAGACTACCCGAAGTTTAGTTGTAGTACTGGATTCCCTAACCACACCGTGATGCGGCAAAAAATACTCAATCTTGCTACTAGAATGCGGTTTCAATGGTGAAGTAATCTCAGTCATATGTCCCAGGCGCTCGTACTCTGCCATAAACTGAACGTATTTCTCTTTATAGTTAGGATCACGTTGAAAACGACGTTCTAAGGAAAGAAATCGACGTTTAGCCATTTCATAAGAATTACCTAACGTGTTACAGTTGTCTTTCAATGGATAAGTTACCATAAAACGACCGTCTTTGTTTCGAGTGGTATTAGTACGAAAGCTTTCCTCACAGGCTCGTTCTTCTGGAGATAAACTATATTTTAAAGGAACCGAATCCAACTCCCAGAATTTATTTAAATTTAAGTTTAATTCATTAGTTTGTAGATTACAATAATGCGATTGTTTTGTTGAGAAATACTTTGATGAAACAATCACAGGACCGGTAACTATCCAACCGAATTTAGATGCATATAATGTAGGTTGGTTTTTACCTAGTTTAATAGATGCACTACCGAGAACCGCCCAAAATACTTCAGCACCAACTAATATGTCAATAGGTGACGGACAATAGAAAGAAGGGTCGGCTAACTGTAAATTTGAAGGTATAGGAATGTTGCGACTGTCAATTGAAGTTGGAGGTAACAGTTTTGTAATTTCAGGCAGAATATAGCAGTCAATATTAATTTTAAAATTGTCATCAAGTGATATAATAGTAAGATTACAAGATTGTGTACTATTTGATGTTTGGCTATTTATACCTGTTATTGTGGAGTTAATGTTCCGCCGAGGCAATCTCAGCTTGTTACTAAGCGTCTGCGTAATAAAATTGGCTGTGCTACCATTATCGAGTAGGATCCTGGCGTCGAACTTCTCACCGTCATCGCTCACAACCTTCACCATAGCTGTGGACAGTAAAATAGAAGAAGTAGTATTCTGTATGATAGTGCCACAAGATAAAGCGACATTGCCTGTTGGACAATTAGTAGAAGAAATACCGGCAATGTCAATAGGAAGGGTGACACTACTACTACTACTAGGCATCGAATTATTAATAGACGTAGACATGGTCTGGTCATCTACATGCAAGAGAGTATTATGCTTTCCTTTGCAATATTTGCAGCGTGATAATCTACATCTTGATGTGATATGACCTGTGCGTAAACAATTCATACACACATTGAGTTCCTTTGCTTTACAAACTCGTGATTCTATAGATAGATTTCTGAAAGATTCACATGTATATAATAGATGGTGTTTAAAACAAAGGGGGCATTTTAATGGGGGTTTATTGTAAGAAATTTGGTTTGAGTTATGATTATTGTTATGATTGTTATAATTATTAGTGGCAACTATGAAGCTTTTTTGTTTATTATCTAATTTATGTATTATTTTATGATTTTGATTATTGTTTTCTAATGTTTCTAATAAATCTGCTTTGTTGCTAATGAATTTACAAAATTGTGATAAAGTGGGTGCAGTATCCAATGTATTGCGATACTCCTCCCAGTTCCTACTAGTGATGGGATCTAATTTGCATGACATCATATACACTATAAGCGTATCCCAAGAATCCGTGGGCTCGTTTAATGTTTTTAACGCTCTAATATTTTTATTAATGCTATCTATGAGTGAACGTAACGACAAATGTGATTCTTTTGGCAGCTTATCAACATTGAACAGTGCCTGCACGTGGTTATGCACTAAAAGTCTACTGTTATCATACCGATCACATAGTAAACTCCACGCCATTTGATAATTGTCTCCTTTGAAATCAATATTCTTAATTATTTCTTTTGCGCTTCCTTTTAATGACGCACGAAGGTAGTGGAATTTACTAATGTCATCTATCGCGCTACTATTATGGATAAGCGATAAATATGTCTCTCTATACTCTAGCCAGTAATTATAACTACCGTCATAATGAGGTAAATTGATGGTCGGCATGCGTATAAAGCCATTTTGGAACGATTGACCTGTGTTTTTATTCGAGGAGCCCGCTACAGACCCGCCGTCACCACCGGCGCAGGCTGCATTGCCAGTGCCAAGTAGTAAACGCGCCTGCGCAGCCAATGAGTGATACCGTTCCTCGAACTTGGTTCGCTCTGCATACGCTCCCTCTGGGTTATCCGCAAGTACTTCGATCTCCAACTGTAATTCATCGAATTCACCAAACAATGCATCGAATTTACTTAGACGGCCTTCCAACTCAATGCGTTGGAGGTCCGAAATAGATTCACAGCTGAGAAGTACAGTAATAAAATTATTAAAATTAGTTAATTTAGCTTTCATAGCACTGCGTTTTCTACATAATAAATCTTCGTTATTTGCCATTGCTAAATAAGTTTTAACTTAATATAACGAAAAGATTATAAATTAATATCGAAAAATAAATATCGAAATGAAAAAGAAAAGTTATTTATGTATATAAAATATGTAAAGATTCTATTCAATTATAATAACTGCGTAGTAACACGAGCAAAAGAAATAATTTCTATTGAATAGATAAGCACGACCTTGACCGCGAGTGAAGTTACGGTCAGCTGCAGCGTAGTGCAAAGTCCATGCGGTGCAATAATGCAATCGTTAGCCAAATGTACCTACGAATATTGATGCGAGATATTATCTAAACGCACGCTTAATACAATCGAATATGTATAATATAAAAGTAAGCAAGATGCGTTTAAATATTAAATATGTATATAGGTATTGGCGACTATTGACTTATTTTGAAGTAGTGAAAGAAGGAAAAAAAAGAATAATTGAAAAATAAGCACTAATTGCACGAAAGTATGCGGAGATTATATAGAAAGGAAATAATTGGAACAGACTCACTAGATGTTGTCCTTATCCACAAGAATTATCCTCAGTATATGTATAGAAGTTTCTCGAAGTGAAGGCAGGATGCATCAATTTGTAATGTTGTCTTGAATTTCTACACCACTGTCGTTTGAAGGCCTCGGGAATAATTATTATATATTCTTCTCCTTATATAATGCGACTTCGATGCGCCGTAGAAGCGATGACACGTCGTATTCTCGTAGCACTTATTGCAATGCCCAAGTTCAAACTCCAACGAAATTCCAATGGTATTGGTATAATCTTGCGGGTTACTTAAGGCCAGTCTGAAGGACCAGTTTGTTGATAACTCGTAAATAAAATAAGTAGTGGACTGTAAGTTATTATATTTAATACGAGGAGTTATAATATTACAAGGAACATTAGCTAATTAATAAGGTACGCGTGCGGTGACGTCGTAGGCGCAAGGCAAAGTGAAAGGTGTCCCGGCCTAGCGGCTGTCAATAGCTCATCTTCGTTAGCGCTCGAACACAAGTTTATTTGATTAAATGATTTTCTATTCTATTCTATTCTTAATGTAATTACAAAACATATCTGTATTAGTTGTCTAGTATCCATAACAAAAGCTCTGCTTAAATTCGGACTTGATTGCGCTTAGAGTGTGAATTGTCCTCAGATATTATTATTACTCAGAGTGTAGCTGAACCAAGTACAAATCTGCCTTTATTTATAGATATATTTTTATTTTTAGAACTGGTGCTGAAGCAGGAACAGGAGGAGTATGCCCGCGAGGGTATCCAATGGACGCCGATCAAGTATTTCAACAACAGAGTGATATGTGAGCTGGTGGATGCACCGCATCAGGGCATCATTGCTATTATGGACGAGGCCTGTCTTAATCCCACCAAGGTATCACATTCTGACTCACTTTTAGGTAAAGTCCAAGATGCTGAAGCTCATTTTTAGGTAAGGTCCAAGATGCTGACGTATTTACAGCAGCCTTGCCTCTGCCTCGATCCCACTAAAGATCACATTCTAATACATTTTTAGGTAAGGTCCAAGATGCTGAAGCTCATTTTTAGGTAAGGTCCAAGATGCTGCCGTGTATACAGCAGCCTTGCCTCTGCCTCGATCCCACTAAGCATCACATTCTAATACATTTTTGGGTAAGGTCCAAGATACTGAAGTGTGCACAGAAGCCTTGCCTCATCTAAAAAATTAGAATATACATGTCTTAATTACCAGCTATGCCCGCGACTTCGTTTGCGTGGAATAGTGATCTTGTATAGCATTTTTACCTTCTTGGGCTAATTATAAAAAGCCAAAGAAAAAAGTATCATCGTTCTAGCTTTAAAAATGACGAGTTTCCATACAAACTGATTTCTTTTTTATTTTTACATTATTTTAACATTTTTACTTTTGCCGTAACTTTATTTTGTATTAATTTAATAAATAAGATTAAGGCATTCCACTCTAAGTTAATGAAAATACACTGCTAATATTATAAGCTAGTTATCTGGCCTGACTTCACACGGGCAATTATTCAAGGGTCTCTGTACAAATATATAATATAGATACCTACCTTAGAGACCTTATGATACCTTATGGACTAACATTTATATGAAATAATAATCATTATATTGTATAAAACAAAGTCGCTGTTGCTGTCTGTCCTTATGTATGCTTAACTCTTTAATACGCAACGGATTTCGAAGCGGTTTTTTTTAATAGATGAGTGAGAGTGATTCAAGAGGATGGTATAAACCTTCCTCTTGAATCACTCTATAATCCTCTTGAATAATACATATAAATGTATAATACATGTACACCCGGACGAAACCGGGGCGAGTAGCTAGTAAAATATAAATATAAATTGTCTCTGTGGTCACGGCACAGACTGCAATCTAATTTAAGTATCTAACCTCATAAATATCGTTTCATTTCAGACCATTTCATTTCAATCTGCAATATATACTCTCCACTTTAGTTTATCCCTTATAAAAAATGTTATACCTTTGCTTTGAATAAATTTTGTTATTACTGAAATACATTAATGTTTTTTTTTTCAGATTTCAGATAGTCAGTTACTAGAGGCAATGGACAAAAGGTTGAGCGGCCACAAGCATTATACGTCCCGCCAACTGGCGCCCACAGATAAGAAATTGAAGCATTCCGTCGACTTCCGAATCACGTGAGTAATGTTTATTAATCTCATCTTACGTTACGTATAGGTGCGGTCTAACTGTTGATAATATTGGCTGAAGAGATTTAGAATTATTATATACATTTTCACATAAATTAAAAATATTCTTGACTTGACGTGGTCGAGTGGAATGAGTAGTCATGCTCACTAAAATGTCCAGACATGTGGCGGCGTGGTGGGCCGGATCATTGGGCTCCCTAAAATATGGTCGAGCGCAGTGATGGCTGGCTCATCCGTCATACTCGTGAACGAGTGCGGCTTGTAGGGACTGGTCTGCTCTTATCACTACGACTGATTTAATGTTATTGTGTTTTTATATTTGAGCCTAAATCAATTAGTGCTGGTTGGTAGTTTGTATTCACACGTTTCGACTTGTAAAATGTGAACTTACAAGGATTGTTTAATTCTTTAATTCTTCTTGTGATGAGACAGCTTTCCAAATAAGCGGTAGATTTAAAAAAATGTTGACTATTCAAAAGTGCTTAAATTAAGTTTATTTGAATAAATTATTTTCTATTCTATTCTATTCTTAGGTGGATTTATATTTGTCTGATGTGTCGTGATGTGATGACTAGTTAAGACATTTATATGTCTATACAAGAATGACGTCTTCTGACGTTATTTTGAATCAATACAGCCGTAGCTCTAGGACATGTGACACGTTTTCAATGTTCTCCCACGAAAGTGAACCTACAAGAAAATATATAGCGGACTCTGACGTGTCACAACACAACACTGGTTCTTGTACATTTCTCTAACGTGTCATTACGGCCCGTTCCTCCTCCGCTTTGACTCAGCCAAAAAATACAAAAACTAAATTAACAAAAAATAAAATTGTTCCCATGTATTACTTCGATTAACTACTAACAGCTCTACTTCTTAAGTTAGTGTAAGTTATTTTAATTTTATTACTGTTTTAAGTATCCCATCCTAAGAGGCTTAGCCCTTAACCCAGCCGCAATGGGGTCCGCGCCGAGGTCCCAAGCACTCCCCTAGGGCAGTACGGGGATGACCAGTATGTGTGTACTGCGATAAAAGTTTGATTGACGTGAAGCTGACGTGTAAATGACATTTAGGCATTACGCGGGCGACGTGACGTATGCAGTGACCGGCTTCATGGACAAGAACAAGGACTCACTGTGGCAGGACCTCAAACGTCTGCTGCGCTCGTCCGGGAATGCATCGCTCGCGGAAATGTGGCCAGAAGGCGGGGACCACATACAAAAGGTATACATACATTAAACTTTTTTTTTATACGTGGTATATTTTCAAAATATCCCATCGCCCTTTCTGGATTCGGCTCTGGCTGGATTAAGTGGATAAGGGACCGTCCGGGAACGCTTCGATGGCGGAAATGTGGCAAAGAGGCGGAGACCACATACAAAAGGTTAACTTAACTTTTTTTAACACGTGGTATATCTTCAAAATACCCCATCGGCCTTCCCGGATCCGGCTCTGGCTGGACTAACCGAATGTGGGACTTGTACCTTACTAAAAATCAGACGGTGTACCTCCAAGATCTTAATATGTGTCGTAATACTCCTTTAATAAAGTTATTAATTGTGTAGCACGTTTTCAATAAAATAACCTTGGTGACAGACGTCGAAGCGTCCCCCGTCTGCTGCGACGTTGTTCCGCAACTCGATGTCGTCGCTGGTGAGCGGTCTGCAGACCAAGGAGCCGTTCTACGTGCGCTGCATCAAGCCCAACCCGCTCCAGACGCCCGCCAACTGGGACGACCAGCTTGTAAGACATTCAACACTATCTCACTACATTTAAAGAACAAATTCGAAACACAAATGCACAATCCCTAAGAATAGAATAGAAAATCATTTATTCAAATAAACTTATATTTTTCAATAGTCCTCACATGTTTTTCAATCAATCGCTCATTTGGAAAGCTGTGAAGAATGAGCCAGATTTCGTGTTGCTCTTTTAAATAATTTTGTTGTTACTTTACATTTCTAAGTTGAAGTGTAAATACAGACTATCAAAAATAGCACTAATTCAATGAAATACTCAAAAAAGGAAAATATTAAATATGCAAGCAACTGGTTGAGAACTGTATGAGTAAATCAGTCGTAGTGATTAGAGCAGACCAGTCCCTACAAGCAGCACTCGTTCACGGGTATAACGAATGAGCCAGCCATCACTGCGCTTGACCATATTTTAGGGAGTCCAGGGAGCCCTAAGTGAAAACAGATAACAGAAAGTCATAGACCTTTCTTGTTATCTATCTCTATACTGTTCTTTCTTAAGGAGCTAGATCATACTAGAGTTAGTTTTATATTTTGTGTTTAATATACATTATTTTGTATATATTGTTAACCGGGTCATAACACCAATAATTCTATATTTACCATTCTGGATGTTTATAATAACTAGCCGTGGTCACGAGCTGATTGAACACAGCTGAATTCTCGTGATCACGGCTAGTGCAAACTGTCGAACCTTCGATAGAGGTTCGAAATACCTTTATTTATCAAATTCAAATTCAAATTCAAAATATCTTTGTTCATGTTGGTCTATTACAGACTCTTATGATATGTCAAATCTACCGTCAGTTCGGAATGATATCGAGATGAGAAGAACTGACAAGAAACTCAGCTCTTATTTTTTTCAAATATTAGTGGAACATGTTTGTAATAATACACAGTTATTAAAATTCAAATTTGGGAGAAAAGAGTGACCACCAGCGTATGCTATCGCAAAGAACAAAAAATTTAGTAAGTGTTCACAACCTGAACAGACCAGTCCCCACAAGCAGCACCCGTTGACGAGATGATGAGCCAGCCATCATTGTACTCAAACATATTTGAGGGAGCACATCGACCAGGCCCACCACGCCGCCACAAGTTTGAACTTTATAGTTAGTTTAGTCGTTTAGTAGTTAGTTTATCATAAAATTATTCTTGTTAAGACCCGGTTAACACTATAGTTCGTACGATGTTTGATGTACGGATTTTATGTTTGATTCGTGTGTTATCGAGTCTTATCTGATTTTATACTGTTCTAGCTGTTTGTTTAAGAAATTTTTAAAAAAATTCTAAATAAATGAAACTTTCTCATATATTTTCATGTACGGTCAGTGAAAAGTAATATATTTTTTATGTACACATATTAACATTAACATTATGAATATTTGTAAATATTTGTAAATACTTAAGGTTAGGTTAGCATTTTTCCAATATAATTTTCTAATCTAATCTAATTTTATTCACTTTTGTTAATTTTACTATTTATAAACTATATAAAACAAAACAAATATTTTTGAGGGTATACAGTTAAAAATCATTTGTGCTAGTTAGATAACTGTGTTACGGCAAGGTAAGAATCTCGCACTATATGAATACCTCATTTTTATATTCAAACGGTTTTTATAATACAATGGGATGCCAACATTCTTTTGAATGTAATAATAACTTATTACAGTATATGTTAACGATACAGATAATTTAAGTATTTTTTTTTTTAATGAATTTATGTTAAAGAAAAGCTAAAGATAAAATTTCTAATTCATGCTCCATATATCAAGATAAGTATTTATCCTATATATTTATATTAGTATAAAGTAATTATATATAGATAAAATATTATATTAGTATAGATTCACTAAGTTACATTATATTATAATATATTACATCATATTGTAAATGTATGTATATATATGTATGTATGATAGTTATTGTATTGTAATATTGTTCTATTATGTAACTGCAATAATTCAGTGCCGGTATAGTCAAGTTTCAGTAAAAAATCTTGAAGTGTCCTCTACAGTCATATTTATTATTGTTTAACAATACTTTTTTATTAATGCGATTATAAAGTAATGGTCCAAGAAAATTAAAAAAGGTTTGTGCAAAAATAATTAATTGACTTTGTGTGTTAATCTTTTAGAGTTATCAAAGTTAATTGGGTGAGAGTTTTGTTTTATAAAAATTCTTTTTATATATAGCTGGCGTCTGTTAGCACCGTAAGCTCACGGTATAACTCTGTTGTGGGGTATCTAAATGGCTTAAATTTTAGAACTTTAAGGATAGCTCGTTGGGCGCGTTCCAATTTGATCAGAATGGTTTTCTTTGCTCCTCCCCAAGCTGAAATTCCATTAATAGACTGACATAAAGATAAATAGACTATTTTCTAGTTTTATCGTCTCTTAATAAACTAATTTTCTTGAATATTGGTATACGAATGACACTTTAATGAGTCAATATGTTGTTTCCAGTTTAAAGTTTTGTCGATTATAATACCCAGATATTTAATATTATCTGTAGGAGAGAGAACAACACAGCCACAATTTCATTTTCATATATTTTTATTGTAAAATCAGGCTTAGGTTGATTATTTTTGTGAAAAGTTAAATATATTTTTTATATACTACATATATATGTAGAACACACAGAAAGTGGTATGTGAAACACAGAAATTCTTATAAATATGTAAGAAGAGACTGTATATGAGATATGTTACATAGGTACGGCATCAGGTAGCATACCTAGGCCTGGTGGAGAACGTGCGAGTGCGTCGCGCCGGGTTCGCATCCCGGCAGCGGTACGACCGGTTCCTCAAGCGGTACAAGATGCTGTCGCAGTACACGTGGCCTAACTTCCGCGGCACCAACGACAAGGATGCCGTGATGGTGCTGCTGAAGGATTTGCAGATCACAGACGTACAGTACGGGCATACGAAGCTGTTCATCAGGTAATATGAGAATTTATAGATGTACTAGGTGTCCCGGCAAACGTTGTTTTGCCATATAAATTAATAACGCTATAAAAAAATAGGGGTTGATGATAGAAGGGTGAAAATTTAGGATTGTATGTATTTTTGTATGTTGTATCATAAAAAAATAGAAACTAAAAATTTTGTCTAAAAAATAAAAAAAAATTTGAGGTGGACGATCCCTAACATTTAGGGGGATGAAAAATAGATGTTGGCCGATTCTCAGACCTACTCAATACGCTCACAAACTTTCATGAGAATCGGTCAAGCCGTTTCGGAGAAGTATGGGAACGAAAACTGTGACACGAGAATTTTATATATAAGATGTAGTATATGTATAGATATATATATATATATATATATATATATATATATATATATATATATATATATATATATATATATATAAGATAAAATTTTGTACCCGAAAATTGCGGAGTATGAAACTACCCGCATAACAGCGTCTGCATCACACTGTCTTGATATTTATCATTATATTTTACTCAATTTACATAATAGCTATATTTCTAACATTTCATGGAAATTAGTTCTGTAGTTTTTGAAAGTAACAAATATTCATCCATACATTCACACCTAAGTCCTTCCTCGTGTTTGGTATGTCATCTGTCAAACTCGAAGAACCATCCGACCTCCCATCCCATACATACATTTAAAATGTTAGTATGATTATTATTTGACAGCCTCGGTGATCTAGCGGTTTAGCACTGCATTACTACTAGTGGTCGCGGGTGCGATTCCTGGCACGGTATAAACATTTATATTTATGTATATTATTATTTGTATCGGTTTGGGTGTTTTTTATTTTTATACTATTATGGTGGCAAACAAGCATACGACTCAAAACAAGCAAACAAGCATTTGATGATAAATCGTTACCGTAGCCTATTATGTTTTTATGTATATATATCAATTATCGTGATACAAGCTTTAGTTAGCTTAACTTAGATATAGATGGCGCTGTGTGAATCCAAGGACAAGATTATTATTATCTAAGTGACGCTCGACTATCATGAGCATGACTGACTAATGACACTCGACTACGTCACAACTATTGTTATTGATATTATATAATGTCGGTGACAAGACAAGTGTGATAGTAACGTGTGGTGGTGGCGGCGACAGGAGCGCGCGCACGCTGCACGGGCTGGAGGCGGCGCGCGCGGAGCTGCTGCCGTCCATCGTGACGCTGCTGCAGAAGCTGTGGCGCGGCACGCTCGCCAGGAACCGGTACCGACGCATGCGCGCCGCGCTACGCATATACAACGCCTGGAAGTGAGTAACACCACACTATCTCACTCGCACTCACCGTCTACAGGGTTACTTGGAAAGAGTAAGCAACACAACATTACCTCGCTCTCACGTACCATGTACAGGGTTAGTAGGAAAGAGTAAGCAACACAACATTACCTCGCTCTCACGTACCATGTACAGGATTAGTAGGAAAGAGTAAGCAACACAACACCACCCCCCTCTCACTGACCATATACAGGGTTAGTAGGAAAGAGTAAGCAACACAACACTATCTCACTCTCACTCACCATGTATACGGTAAGTAAGAAAGAGTAAGCAACACAACACTACCTCACTCTTACTCACCATGTACAGAGTTAGTAGGAATGAGTAAGCAACACAACACTATTTCACCATATATACAGGGATAATTAGGAAGGGGATACTAAACCACAAGGATATAAAACTACCAATGGTAAGGAACAATTTTTCATATACCAACATACGTTAGTTAGTCATGAACTTTCAGTTAGTCACGAAGGTTGTACTAAGTCGTAATGATATTAAAGAACCCATGGTAACGAACAAAATTGTATTATTTAACTTCCCGTTAGTCAAGAAAGGTACCTTAAGCTGCAAGGATATGATAGTACCTATGCTAACGAACATATTTTGATGTACAACTTTGCGTTAGTCAGAAAGGCTATACTAAGCTTACTATGTTATAAATGGACCTATAACTTTTGTTCTACAATTTTCCGTAGTCAGAAAGGGTATGTTAAGCTGCAACAATATAAAGGTATCTATAACTTTTGTTTTATAACTTTCCCTGACATCATATAGTTTTTTCTCTAAAGGTTTATTCGCGCGTGAAAGAGTGTAAGTGTTTTCAGCTACATTTGCTTCGCTATTAACTTGCACCAGAGTAAATACTAGGAGAATGTATTAATTCAAAATGTTCACTTACCGTATAAACGTCTAGAACTAGAAATAGATGAGTATTCTCGCTCGGCAGACGGTACAAGTGCAATCGGTACATAGCGGAGCTGCAGGCGGAACTGAACCGCAACCGCGGCGTGGTGAAGCAGTGGCCGGCCGCGCCGCGCCGCCTGGCCGCGCCGCTGCTGCAGGCCGCGTACCGCCGCTGGCGCGCGTACCTGGTGCTGCGGCCGGTGCCGCGCGACCAGTGGCCGCAGCTCAAGATGAAGATCAGCGCCGCCAGCGCGCTCGCCGCCCGCCGCGCGCACTGGGGCTCCGCCCGCGGCTGGCTCGGGGACTACCTCGCCCACGACGGGTACAACCCCAAGTCCGGTCAGTTACACTATTGTACGCGATCCATTCATTCGATCACGATGTTATAGGACGAGTCGTCGCCATCCGGTCCCGAGCTAAGTAAAGCTCGGATTATGGGTACGGTATTGGACGACTTATGGAAAGACATAGGTTTTTTGTAAATACATACGAACGCAAATATTTGTACCATGCGAGGAATCACACCCACGAACTTCGAAAATATGGCGATGTTCTAAATCACCGTCGCATTCATGATCATAATCCTAATTTAAAAAGTAATCAATCAAATCGATTACTATTTTCTATAGAAGATATTTAACCGAAATATACTTTTTAGAAAGTACATTGCATGAGTATTTCTATCTCACTTATACCTACTACCAAGTAACTATTTTGTTGATAATGAGGTCAAGATGATGATACCATTAATGATGATGATGATGATAATGTCGATGAAAATGATTTTGATGATATTGAAAATAATTGTTTAATATAAAGAAAGTATATCATTGTTATAGCTCTCTACAAAGCATCGATAGCGAACCTCCAAAGGAGTCAGCACATCGGCAAGCCATTATTCTCGTGTAAAGTCCACAAGTTCAACAGATACAACAAGCTCGCAGAGAGATGTTTGCTCATTACCGAAACAGCCATATACAAACTGGACGCTAACACGTTCAAAGTCCTCAAGAAGCCCACGTCTATAGCTGAGGTAAGATCTTTTTTTAACTATTCTAATGCCGTTGGCCGCAGCTGGCCTTTACAGATTCACCGAACGAGCAAGTGCAGATGACATTCCAAACCAGCGGAAGGACTTATGGAGCAGCTGTAGGCCAACTCCCGCCTGACGGGTACGTTTTTAGTCTCCGGGCACCGCTAAGGATTCGAACCTCGGCATTCGTAATTTCGACGGAGGTAAAATAAGTTTAATTTAGGTAAGGTAGGTTTTGATGTTGGAATGGTGTACCCGTTTATCCTAACCGGTATACGCTAGCAGACGAGTGAAAGATGATATGATGAGGATGCTGCCAGTTTGCACATTGTGGTGAATTCATCAAGAACTCAAATCACCATCGTATTAGGAATTAACAACTGTGGTCTCCAGGGGGACAGTTGGATATTATTTTTTATGAGTTATATTAGTAACATTTTAAATTATATTATCTTATATATAAAATTCTCGTGTCACAGTTTTCGTTCCCATACTCCTCCGAAATGGCTTGACCGATTCTCATGAAATTTTGTGAGCGTATTGAGTAGGTCTGAGAATCGGTCAACATCTATTTTTCATCCCCCTAAATGTTAGGGGTAGTCCACCCCTAAATTTTTTTTTTTTATTTTAAGGCTAAACAACGTTTGTCGGGACAACTAGTCATACTATTGATTTTATATTTGTACGTATAATTTTCTGGTGCGCGTAAAGTTATTTGTGCAGGGTTAATACTTCGAATACCTTATTCTCTTCTCCAAGGCCCTGTTTGTTTTTATACCAAAATTAATTAAAATTGGTTTCCGCATTTTTTGGATTACACTAATGCTATTGGCAGCGGATGGCCTTTACAGCTTCACGGAACGATAGAGAGCGAGTGCAGTTGGCACATACACGCGGGACTTACGGACCGGCTGAAGGCCAGCTCCCGCCTGACGGATACGACTTTAGTCTGAGGGCACCGCTAGGGGTTCGAACTTTGGCTCAGGCCGTCATAATTTGGACCCCGTTCGAATTGGACGAGGGATCGATCGGAGGGATGGTTTGTGCATGTACAGTCCATGTACCTACCATGATGACTTTGTCAAAGTTATCCACCGGCATTAAACAAAGTGTGTGCACAGGTGGGGGCGGTGCGGATAATGAGCAGCGAAGTCCAACTGGTGGTAGTCAGCGTACCGTCCACCAGCAACGACCTGGTGGTGGGGCTGGTGCCCACCGCGCCTGGAGATGACTTCGTCGGGGAACTGGTGGGCGTGCTGGCCAACAGATACTACATGTTAGTATTGTTTTTATATACCTGGTAGTTTTCCCGTTGAATTAAAATAAATGTAACCAAAGTTAAAGCTTATAATAGAAGCTGTTTTCAAGAGAAAGTCCCGTCAAATCGGTTTAAGCATTAAAAAGACGGATAGGCATATTTATTTATATTTATATATTTGTATGTATAAAAATATAAATTGTTATTGTTGCCTATATACATACATCTGTTTTACTTGGGAATCTGTTTTCGTGCGGAACAGAGTGTCTACTCGTATGTTGAAGTAGGTAAAGAGAATCAGGAAAAGTGCAATATTTTGCGCATATGCTATTTTCGATCCTTCAGTTGCGCGTGTTCTGTAATGGCAAATAAGTTAACGTTCCGGCTGAAGGTAATCGTATACTATATTTGTGGTATTCCTAATTTGTTGCCATTCTTTAGGACAAAACTGTATGGCTTTCGTAATTATCAACCTTGAACACAACTTACAAAACAGCTTACTACCGGGTTAGCGTTGTCCCGAGATGATGTTGTCTCGGGTGGCTGTTATGCCGGATGGGTGTCGTTCCGGGTGAATTTTACTCTGGGTGAGTGTTGTCTTGTGTGGGTGTCGCCCCGGGTGGGTGTCGGCCCGGGCGGATGTCGACCCTGGGTGTGAGTCGGCCCGGGCTGGTGAGTGACTGGCGGCGGTGTGCAGGGTGTCGGGCGGGTCGCTGTCGGTGGAGGTGGAGCGCGGGGCGAGCACGCGGTGCACGCTGGGCGGCAGGACGCGCGCGCTGCAGCTGCCGGCCGCGGCCGCCGCGCCCGCCGCGCCCGCCCCGCAGCCCTTCACGCACGCGCACAACGTCATCACCTACCACCCGGCCTCCGCGCGGGCCTAACCCTCCTACATCGTTCCCGGAATGACAAGCGTTCCCGAAATGACGAGCGTTCCCGGAATGACCAACGTTCCCGGAATGACCAACGTTCCCGGAATGACCAACGTTCCCGGAATGACCAACGTATTGGAATGGCGAGCGCGAAATGACGAACGTTCTAGAATAACGATTGTTCTCGGAATGAATTATACCGGAATGACGTTCGTTCCCGGAATGACAAGCTCTGAATGACGATCGCGAAATGAAGTTCGTTCCCGGAATGACAAGCATTCCTGGAATGACGATCGTTCCCAAAATGATCGTTCCCGGAATGACAAGCGTTCCTGAAATGATGATCGACGAAATGCGTTCCCGGAATGATTGCCGACAGCGTTGTCGATGCTGCTTCGGCTCAACTACTGTATACACGTTAGTAAATGAACCCCATGTTTATTATAATACTAATCCCACCCTAAACAATGTCATCACAATTCTAACTATATTAATAAAAAATTGTACAGATATCTGTGTGTAATAATTTCGGTTAATATAATATATGTTCCCGAAATTAGATACTTCAATTGCGATGTATAAATTATAATATAACATACTGTAATTATAACATAAGTAACTATTATACGATAATGTAAGACAGGGAGTAAAAAATTCCAAACAAAATCTAATCTTTTAAAGCAACCCAACTAACGTGTTGTTTAAACAAAAAAAAATTAAAATCCAAAATTTCTATTTCATTTTTCTATTACATTATACTATCTTTATGTAAAAAATTCCAATATTACATCCTAATTAAAAACCATCTCCTTCCAATTGATAATAAGGTACAAAATTATATGCGTTGTGAACACACCTATTCAAATGTCTAATACTCACCAAATTATACCTTTAGCGACCGATTTTTAATTCTGTCTATGTTGTATTAAGATTCACTTTCTAATTTTTCATTTATGGAACTTATTACAAAAATTTTCGCGCCAAAATCACATTGCACATAAACTCTAATGGTTGTCAAAATAACACTATATATACATATAATGTCCTCTTTTAACTGTATGTTGATGAAAGAGACGGACGAACAATATTTTAATGTACGTATTAGTCAGAGTTATTTAATTCATAATAATATTTAATGGTAAGTGTCGTTAATTTATTCAAAGTGATAATGTTAGTTTTTAAACGTGTAGTTATAGTCAAATATATTTGTTATTTTTTTTTTCGTTTAAAATATTATGCGTTTTTTAATTACGTTTTTATAAATATTTTTTGTCTGTGGCATAAACTTAAATAGTATTTTTAAATGTATTGTAATGTATATGAATTTACATTTTTTAAAAACAAACTATTATACATAACAGTGTCATTCTGATTGCATTAAAATATTAGATTAAAAAAGAAGTGCCTCAATTATGACATACGGCTGTGTGAGTAGTTTCCTTTGTCGTAATTAATATTTTAAATAAACACATGAATTGCTCGTATATGGTTTTATGGAAGAATATATATTTCCTTAAACCAATTTTTCAATAATTTTTTCAGTAATTTTTTTAAATATAACCTAATATATGACCGTATACGTATAGCCTCTGTGCCTTTATAAAATAATAAAAAAAAAACTAAATACCAGCCCGCCATCACTTGCAACTAAATCATTTTTGTATGAAACTGCAAGCTCTTTTTTATAGTAAAATTTTAGGTTCTCGTTACTGGGAACAAAACGATTTTTGTATGAATGTATGTAACATATTTGCGCGGGATCTTTTTAAAAATAGCTTGTAAAAATTTGTCTGCATATACATGCCTTAATTGAAATAAAGCAAAATTTGTACAGTGTTGCTGCAAATTTTGTGTTGCATTATATAGATTTAATATTTATTGAATTCCCATAAGTGTGGTGCCAGCTTTTAAAAAATACAGAGTTAATTGTTTACTTAAATACTTAATTGCTATTTAAAAAATATATCGTTTTGTATGAAACAGCAAACTTATGTATAATCAATAAATATTCCGAACATGTATTAATAATGTGATTATATATTGTAATAATATAGTTTTATAACGTACAAACTTAGATTTTAATAATTTATGGTCTAATAAAAATAGTACTCAATGATTTAAAATCTTTAGTCGTACACTCTTGACAGTGTGGTCGTGACTTTCTTGATATCTCTTCGTTGTCCTTGGTGACACAGCTCCTCGCAATTTGCCTCCATCCGGTACAGTTTTTGGCTGTACGATATCATTGTGCAATGGACTGCTCTAGCCATTTTCATAAAGTTAGTCCATACCGTTGGTGATCTGACCCAGAGAACGCTATAGAATATCGACAAATAAATCATAAACAAATTATTACAGTACAGCCTCATTTATGGTAAAGCTGTACAGGCCAGCTGCCGTCAACAGCATTAGAATAGTTAAAAAAAAATCGAACTACATTCGATATTATTTACGATTGTCGATCGATAAAATTGGATCAATAAAAATCAAATCGATTTACTAATCGATTGGTCCAATTCTATTAATTTTATGTGGAGGATATCTTGCATGAAATATAAACCGTAGCTGTAAATAATTTGGTAATTTAATATATTATTATTCTGTGACAAATTTGTTTCTTTTTTTAATATATGAAATATGGTATCACGTACTATTTAATTTCTAAAAACATTGAGTACTATTATAGTTAGATCTTATGTAATGTAAATTAGTTGTAAAGGGTATATATTTCAAGCCTAAAATTAGGTAGAATACACATGGAACTGAAATATTTTCACCAAGAAACAATGTGAAAATCTGAAAATAAATTAACAATTTTATTGACTAATTGAGATACAGGTTAGGCTTGGCTGGCCTGGACTTGGCATAATATAGTTCTTAGGAACTACTGGCAATATATACATACTATAAAAAACTTAGTTAAGTCCATTTTGTAGCAGTTGTTTTCGTAATAAACTTATTACTGTTATTTAGCTGTCTTTACACGGCACGTTTTTTCACGCATTCGTTCTTTTTATTTTTTCAGCGTGAAAGCCGATTCGCACGTAAAAGAGCGTACGTGTAAAGGCAGCTAATGAGATTTATATGTTCGTATTTCCAATTTCTTTGTAAAACTTCATTAGTATCATGAACACTCGTTGACTTTTGACTTGACATTATATATACCCTTTAGAAATGAACCTATATAATAATAATTTATTAACATAAGTCAGTATTAAGTTTTGTTAATATACAACGAAAGCATGCTATTTTTAACGGACAGCATTTACAATTGTACACATTATGTAAACAGCACATTTCAAATCAAAATATCTTTATTTCTATATTACAGACTCTTATGATACGTCAAATTTACCAGTTCGTAGTGCTTTCGAGCAAAGAACTGACAAGACTTAGCTCTTATTCTTTTCAATTGATCTTGTACATGATTACAAAAATACAAATTCATTTTTATATTCACTAATTTAAAGTTACTTATTATTTTAATAGATTTACAAATATCCTGGTCAATTCTTACATAGTTTATATACCGTGTACAAATTGTAAAGAGCCATGATAAAACTTTAATAAGAGGATAGAGACTACAAAGTCGTCTGTTTAGTACCTCTCACCTACTTCAGCCGTCAATCAGCTGTTTCGGTTGTAGGTTACATATTACAGGTTAAGAGATTTGTGTGTTCTCTGGAATGGCAATACATTAAACGGGTATAAAAATGATATCATACATGGCATTGCAAATTAAATAAACACATGGCAAACTTAGACCTGTGCTTAACAAAGTTTTGCAGATTTTCCTAAATAGAAGAGGTACGGCACTACACATCCTATGTGGTTGTAGCCCACTCATGCATAAACAATATATCTCCTTTGGAAAGTACACACTATCCTGAGAAGGTAAAAAGCAATGCTCCTAAGAATATCCAATTAATTATCAATTCTTGTCCCTGACGTAGCGACCCTACGTAGTAGTCCCTGTAGCGAACTCTAAAAAAGGCGAGCACAATATATCTATGAAAGTCGCAGTGCTACATATATCTTTAGTATCAAATTAAACCTTTGTTCTTTGCCCCTTAATAAAAAAAGCACTGGTGTCACATGATAACGTGATCTGTACTAATGTTCATATATATACAGACGGTTAACACCTACCATCAGGTGGACCGTCGATTTTGCCATTCCAATAATATAAAAAAAACTTGTAATTGTTAATAACGCATTGTATATAGCTGTTAATGTTATTTTGAACGAGTGGTCAGCGTTGTACGTGCCTTGTTGTGGTGCCATGAGATTTCTATTTCAGTATAATAAATACAATATTTTTCTTTTAAAAGGTTTCTTCATTTCACTCTTTCATTAGACCTTCTGAATCCTGGGAATTAATAATATCTAGAAATCCTAATAATTATTATTATCCTAGAAATCCTAAGAGAATTGGCGATAAACTATGTTTGGCATAAAAAGCCTTATAAAGTCCTAATCCTATACCAGCGAAATCTCTCTAATATCTTCTAAAAGATCTTGGCCAGTCTAGAAATGCAATAATGCATTCTATAGTAGAACGTTTAACTAAAACAGGATCCTATCTGGAAGAATAGAATAGAAGAATAGAAAATCATTTATTCAAATAAACTTACATTGAAGCACTTTTTAATAGTCATTACATTTTTTTAATCTACCGCTCATTCGGAAAGCTGTCTCATCACAAGAAGAATGAGCAAGAAACTTGTGTGTTGCTCTTTTTAATAATTTTATTATTACTTTACATTTTTAAGTTTAAGTGTGTGAATACAAACCACCAATTAGCACTAATTCAATTAAATACTAAAAAAGAAAAAATATTGAATACATAACCAACTGGTTAAACAATTAATAAGTATGACGGATGAGCCATAGCTATAGCCCAATGACCCGGCCCACCACGCCGCCACAAGTCTGGACATTTTAGTGAGCATGACTACTCAAAACACTAGACCACATCAAAGCTACTCACAATTGCCATCTGCTAGTTATAG